CAAAGTTCATAAAAGCAACCACACAGAGTACACGATACATACCGCTTTCAATATAGTTGTGCAGATAACAAAATATAGCTGGGAAGAATCACTGAAGGACAACATTATCTCGCAAAGATTTGCAGAAAGTATATATAACCAAGGAAACGACGATGAAGATGTGTTTCTACTTGAGTAAAACAGATGCTGTGCAAAGACAAGTGATGTCCCGAAGATGCGTGGGTTGCACGAACTTGGCTTTGGCCAACAAAGAACTCCCTTCACCGATAGTAGTCGAAATCTGCACACTTTAATTTAGAAATGCCTTACATGTACATCTACTAATGAAAAACACAGTTATCGGAATTTAATATTCTTCTATAAATATAAGCAAAAAAATCATTGTTTTGTTTGAAACGTTTCGCATATTTCTGATTTAGTGTTATCGAGTGTTATCGAGTATATTTTATCCAGAACGAACCATTTGTTTGAAAAATGAAAAATTGGCATTTTTGGAAGAGTTTCCACAGGAATCTACATTAAAAGAATTCATTAGAATTTCCTAATAATGGCTCACATTTTGGTGATCATCATCGCGATACCTGCGTGATACTATGATTTAAAAAAATAACTAAAATAAAAACATGTTGTAAATGTCAAGGAACATCCAACATCCAACAACATTAAACTAAATCAATCATGCACAAATAAAAGCCAAACATGCTTGGTTGGGAAAAAAAGAAAAATGTATACTTTCCAATCTTCCAGGCTCTCTCCAGAATACTCGTATACTAATGGCTCACCCCTTATGTTGTAAAACTTACATTACCCATAGTGCTTTGTGGAGACAAATATGGCAACCCACATGAACGCAATGTGTCTACTACGTTCCGATTATTTAGTTGGTGATTATGAACACTAACAATTATCGCAATTGAAATAATTGTCATGGAGTTCACGGAAGAGTTTGCTGTTCTACAAGGTAGTTTTATGTTGATTGAACGCAGTAACGTGTATTGTGATGCCAAGTCGCTTAGCGTAGATTTGGAACTCGTTTCTGACGCCATCAACGACATTGTCGATGGACTGTCAAAACCACACGATGTCAGTGAACAAGAACTATGGCGATTGAAAATTCACTCTGTCATGTTCGTAAAATGGCTGGAAAACTGTCACGATACTCCACTTCCCAAATCAGATCGTAATAATCAAGTTGATAAGAAAGAGTGGAGCAAAGAAGACGTCAATGATTTTGGGAATTTTCAAGAAAAGTATTTTGTGAACAGTGTCTGTGTGGTTCCTACAATTCCCACACAGTTTTATACTGAACTATTGAAAACATTGGGATGGAGTAGATATCTCTTCCAGGTAAGATGCTGCGTATTTCCGATACGGAGACTAGTAATTTGATCGGATTCCGTTCAACCACAGGGAGCCCAGGAACTATAATCAACTGTAGTACGCAGTCTCTATGAGCGGGGGGGGGGGGGGGGTATCGGCTGGTATCTAGTGTAAAAAATAGACAAGGGATGAAGGCTCCAGCCAGCTCACATTTTTTAAACTCGAAAAAACAGACGAAAAGAATGAAAAATAAAATCTAAAAAAATACCAGGTTGAAGAATATTAGTTGCTCTTTCAAATTTTGCCAAAGCCTTGCCTACATTTTACCGATATCTGCAGAATAAATCAAGAAAACTACACAAATTTACTCCATTTAGGAATTCCTAACGGTTTGCCCGAATGCATGGCAAAGTTTTGAGGTGTGGCCTGTAGGATTTGGCAACAACCAATCACAAGACTGGTTACGAACCAGTGACCTCGATGTGGTTCGTAACTAGTCTTGTGATTGGTTGTTGACAAATGCTGAACAGGCCACGCCTTCAACTGTGCCGCGCGTTCGGGTAAGAAAAAGCAAAAAAAAAATTTCACTCCTAGTGCCCACGAACTTGCATCTATACCTTAATGTGTTAATATGATTTGCCGAAGCAAGGGATGTAAGGCCAGGGTACAGCCTCAGAGGACTGAATCATGAAATTGCTAACTGATCACAAGTCATTGGGCAGGCAACTTGATATAAACAACGTAGAATAATCTACTAAATATACTAAATAATCTACTAAAGTTTTGTATGTCTGTAGTCATTTCTGTGATTTTATTTGGCCGATTTGTTTGTGTAATGTATATAATGAATGAGCAGTGTTTACTCTAGGACGTGCAATTGCGTGGTTCCCCACCTACTACACTTTGTGCGCCCTTAAAAAAAATACTCCAAGGCCGAAAATGGCCCATTTCCTCACTGCCCATTGAATTTTTTAAATAATGGCCTGTGCGTGTTTAGAGTTTCTTACATCTTGGGTTGTGCAACTTATAAAGTTGAAAGTCAGCATAGGTGGATTTTTCAATGAAAATAGAAGTCCCAAAAAATATTTGATCATTTTTTAACCCAAATAAGCCCCAGCCAGGACAATTTTTAGATGGGCCAAATTACAGCAGAAATGAGAATCTGGTATTACTGGTAGGTAATTAATATGCATGGATTTAAAATTCAAACAAACCAAGTTCCCACATTTATACTAAGTAATTTATGAGAGCAAGTTTAACCCTAAACTAATTACTTCCATGAATTACCCTGGGAGTTCCAAGTTTCATTGACATGCGACAATTGGTTCTTGCTATATCAATTGAAAAGCTATGAAGTACATGTAATCATGCACAAATTGACCTGATAGGTCAAATCACTAATTAACAAATCAAAATGATGAATGATGCCAAAGTGTTCAAATTACCATAGCTCACTTAAATATGTTAATATTATTGAACGCAATGCGGAAGAGATTTGTTGATGTTGTAGTATGATCTTTTGGCTTGGATTTTGATGGGAAAACAGCCTAATTTGTTTTTAAATAAAAAAATTAGTGGTTTCAAAAAATAAACTGAGCATTCGAAGAATAATTTAACATTGTTTACAGTGATAACAGCTCATTGTCGAAATGAGTCTTACCCATTCACGCTAGTCACAATAAACATCATACGCTTGAATGGGCCCCAATGACTACGGTAAAACTTAAATTATGCTCTATTTTAGTCATCAGGAAATATTTAAATGTACGAAAAATGACGCCAAAATATTAAAGAAAACACCTTAAAAAACTGCTGAAAAATCATGATTTATTGATATCATTTTTTTAAAAACCCCAGCTGCCCAGGGTGAATTTACGACAGAATCCGGTACACAAAATTAGTAAATTTTTAGCTTTTCCACCTATATCTCAGGTATTGATCATTTTTCAGTGAAAAAACTGAGAAGCTCTCAAACAATGCAAAGACCTGATTATTTTGGGATTGTCATTTTTGCATACTAATTACACAATTTGCATTATTAGCCAATTTTAAGCCCTATATCAATACATATTTCAATATGACTTGGTACATACATATAGTTGCTCTAGGGTATGCCACATGCAGGCCTGTTTAGTTTTTTGTTTCAAATAATTGTCTCATTTTGCATATTAAATATTTTCAGCTTTTCGATTTTGTTTTATTTTTTAGTGTCTAATGAGAGTTAACTGTGAGACAGCCATAGTACTGATAGAACATCTCTTCCTGTATCTTTCCAAAGAAGACAGTAATACAAAGTTTCTGGTTGAACTATTGGAATGCGTTTGTAACTATTGCCGTAGCAACAGTCATGTAGAACTCCTACCTACATTTTTGTCCCAACTATTGAAAGCAATTCAAAATCGCCATCCTGACATGTTGAAAACTAACATCTTTAAGATTTTAGTAAAATTTTTAGATGACCTCACAAAACATGGTGTCATAAATGATGCGTCATCAGATGAAATACTACAAGACTGTTTAGCAAGGAATGCCAAGCAACAAAGTTACAGCATGGAGAGGAAGAAAATGAGTGATGATCTTCCATCTTTTCTCAAATCTCAGACTCTGATACTGGAGATACTTATATCTTTTTTATCAGAGAATATTTTTGTTGACTGTGAAGATTCTTTCACAGTCTTATTGAGTGATGGATGTCAGAGTATGAATCCAGTGATTAGGTCATTGGTGGAGCTGTTCCAAAGAATTGAAACATGTGGCCAGTTTGACAAAGCAGTTGTCACAAAAATTGCAACATTACAGACACGCATACCATGTACATTGCACCCAGTATGCCAATCTCTTAATGAATCTGCTGTTATCAGAGATGAGGTTGAAATCTTGGAAAATAAATTGACTGATGTCATTTGGAGAATAGATGAGAGATTGACTGGATACCGAGGTAAGTTTTACAGCCAGCACCTGTGGATCTTTCTGTCACCACAGTATTGTTACAAGTCAAAGACACCCTAGCTAAAGGTGAATATTAACAATGGCACATCTTGTCAAGGAGAGATGATTCCAAGATGAGTTGGCAATTTGATTTTTTCTAAATTTAATGTAATTTAAACTGTATTGAGATCATAAACGCTTTAGAGGTTCACAAATATTTATGGGTTTTTTTTGAAACAAAGTCGACACTGCGGAGCTGTTCATATTACTGATTGTTCGTCGTTGTCGTCAACGTCAAATTTACAATTTCAACTTCTTCAAAACCGCAAGTCAGAATGTTTTCAAATTTAATATGCAAGTACCTTGGATGGTTCTTTCTCAAATTGTTCATTTCATGTCAAAACCTCAAATTTGTTCAATTTGTGATGATATCTTCAATTCTCTAACTTTTGTGAATCTTTTTGTCATTACTGGTAAAAGTGATATTTTCGACTTCTTTTAAAAATACCCAAGTTCAATTGCTTTGATACTGTAAAATGACTAATTTTCACTGGGTTTAAATTTCACTGATTTACCATTTCAGGCATATTCAGTGGGTTTTAAATTCATTGTTTTATCATTTAGATAATGTGTTCTATGCTAAATTTTACATATTCACTGTGTTTTAATTTAGCGCATTTTTCCAGTCAGCGAAATAAGCTAAATTAAAACCTAGTGAATAATTACCCCCTTTACAGTATTATACATATAGGTACTACATGTGGACTTCTCTCAGATTTGTTCATTTCATGATGATATCTTCAATTTTGGTGAATATTTTTGTCATTTTTGGTGAAACAGCAAGTCTGATTGCTTTGATATTATACATATTGTTCATTTTCTAATGATATCTTCTGTTCTTTTATTGAAATGTGTATTGCTAACAGCTGAGCTATCTCAGCTGACAGGCTGCTTGTTTTTCATTTTTAGTCAAAAATATCCTACTTTTGTGTATGGGGGAAGGAGTATGTGTGTGTGTGTGAAATTTGGGTTTGAACTTGTCATATGTACTTCTTACAAACAACACCCTGACTTTGCGGCTTGAACTAATTTTTGAAATTGTAACATTGCAATACAACCCGACAAGTACTTTTCCAACCAAAGCACTTGCTCTCCAAGTTTTGCTTAGATATATTGCTGTACTATTTGGTAACTTTTATACAATTTGTATATTACTCTATCAGGGACCTAAAGTTAATACAGTACATGTAGTATTAATTGAGGCACATTAATCTTGATTATTAATAATATGATTATCTCATTGTTCACGTTCATTTCTAGTCATAATTGTTCCCACCTAAATTTTCTTATCAAAGTTTGTTTAGATACAATTTAGATACAATTCAGGTAGCAAGTGTATCATTAGTTTGTATTCATTTGTAACTAAATTTTGAAGAGCCAAGTCTATAATAGTTTCGCTATGTTTTATTCTGTTAACAGCTGCAATGGATTGGTTGTTGTCTTGTAAGGAGTTGTGGTTTGATACAAGATGGATTCAATGTGTTTCCAATAATCTGCCCTCTATAGCTACTGTACGGTGAGTAAACTTTATTTTCTCAATTAGAAGCGCCTGCCATGGTTTACATGTGAGCTCTAAATATTCGTCTGTTGAAATCATGTTGAAATCATGTTGACATCATGAGACCAAATAATATAATGAAATTCAATATTCAATTTTGATTTATTGTTTTTGGTTGTACTGTCATAGCAACCATCTTGTCATAGTTGAGTGTTGATGTAAGTTAAACAAATGTAAATACAATTTTCTGAAACAAGTAAGAAACAGTATGTTTCTTTTGCTTTCAGATCTGTTACCATGGTTATCGACATATTACATAACATTGATAATAAAAGCAGTCTTTTTGAGCACCTCAAACTGGTAAGACTTGTGTACGGGATGGTGTTATACATGTAATTTATTGTCACATTGTGTCAATATGTAAATTTGCATTTTCGCCAATAAACCAGTGAGAACAGTAATTTCATGTGAAAGTGTCCAATTACTGTGGAAATCTTCCATGATGAATAGAACGCGAATGACACTTTTTCATAGAATACCCCAAATATCTATCAAATGTATGTCAACTGTAATGTTTTTATTGAAATACAAAGTAATCTCCATAAATTCATATGTTTATTGCAAAGCACAAATACAAACTACACACAGAGTACAATGAATCTACAGATGTCAGCAGCCATGTCAGTGTTGGTCACTTTATTATATTATTGATATTGACAACAAAATGTTTCAACTCATTCAAAATATTATCAAGATTGCTTCTTGCAGTCTTTGGTATCTCTGTTATGAAATGTACTCAGAAATGTAATAATATTGTTGTAAATTCCAAACACTTGTATGAATGTTCTATTGTAGGTGTTATTGCAATGCCATGCAAGTTTGCCTTTGTCATCACAAAATATTCTACGTGATTATTTGATAGACGAATATGGACTGCCAACATTGTACGAAAAATATTCACCGGATGATTTCAGTCAACAGCTCACTACTGTCTTTAATAAGCTGGTGAATGTGGAAGAAAATATTGATTTCATGCAGGCAAGTCTCAGAACACTCCCTGGTAGATATTGATTTCATGAAGACTAGTCTCAGAACACTCCCTGGTAGATATTGATTTCATACAGACTAGTCTCAGAACACTCCCTGGTAGATATTGATTTCATACAGACTAGTCTCAGAACACTCCCTGGTAGATATTGATTTCATGAAGACTAGTCTCAGAACACTCCCTGGTAGATATTGATTTCATGCAGACTAGTCTCAGAACA